ATTATTATTATTATTATATTTTATTTTTGTTTTGAAAACGATCTCTCTCAAATGGCACAAAACTAAAAGTATTTGTTATTTTAGTTGTGTACACTGTTTTCACCGTCGTCCACCGTCCTCTTTTTTTCTTTTATCTATTCCTTTCGGAATAAATCTGTCGTCCTTAAGACATTATAAGTGACAACAATTTGTTTCCGTATTCCACGGCCGTCGTTAAAAGATTTATCTTGATCGCACGCACCCACCCTCGAGTCGGGGGTTCACAATATTCCATTAATGTATTACAAAGACAAAACGAGTAGGGTGGAAGTGAAAAGCGTCGCTAAGCAATTGAGGTACGGAAAAAAACTGTAAATATATATATAATGATTTTCGTATTGTTAGAGCTTTGGGCCGTTATTTATAATATATTATTATTATTATATAGGTATGTATTGTATTGTGTGATGGCCAATCGGTCACGGCGGTTTTCTTTGTTTTTTTTATTTTTTTGCTGCTCCACAATCACAGCAGTAATAGTTTTTATGCGATACAAAGTAGCACCACCTCGGGTTTCGGTATAATAGTACAACGGGAGACGCAAGCGGAGTTCCAAAAGAATCAATTACAAAAGTTCAGCGCGCACTATCGTTCCAGCGATTGAATCGCTGAGGCTGCATCACCCTCATCAGATATATAACAATATAATAATATAGAATAGAATAATAGATGTAATCGAAAAAATTGAAAAAAATCGAAAAATACCTTTCGTATCCACAATGGATGTCATGCCGATATACAAATAGGTGGTGAGGTGGTAGGTATCTACACAGGATATGGTATTATTAATTGTATTATTGAGTCGTTTAATGCCGCGACGGCAAAGTTAAACGCGAGCAGTAATACCTTTTGCAAGTTATATTATATTATCGTGTTGAAATAGTTTTAAAAGTCATAATATTAATARCATCATGCGAAATCGATAATAATTATCATCTAAACTTCGTGTGCATTCATCATTTCGATTAACGAGGAAATTAATAGTTTATTGTTGAATATAATAATATTTAAGAACACGTCGTCGTCGTTTTCTGCACCGTTTGGCTTTTTAAAATATGATTTCCCTCTTTAAAAATCGATTGCGAAAACAAGCCATTGTGCCATTTATTWTTTATTTTCTACTCACGGTGAAAAATATAATAGATATTAACCGACGATTAGTACGTGTCAGTGTAAAAGGTAACAGGTCGACTTGTTTAACTTTTTTACAGCCATGCACCGCGACATGGCTGGTACGCAATATATTGAGCTATTGCGTGGAACAAAATAATATAATATTTATTTTGTATAATATAACGTTAACAATATAAAATCGCAATCGATGTGTTGTATAGATAATATGTCCTCCTAATGCTYAAAATAAAGATTAACTATATATTATTTAATTTTTTTTAAYATTATGAATATTTAAATTACGTTTTTACTTTTATTATTTTAAATTAATACGTAATATTAAAAATGTATCATCATTGCATTATTCGTAAGTACGAGTAAACTGTATACGATGTAGGTCATAAAAATATGATACAAAATGTAAGTTACATGTATGTCAAACAAATTGTCAACAACAACAACATATTATTATTATTATTATTATTATTATGAATGTGTATATTTTTATAGATTTCAACTTGATAGGTAAAACAAGTTCCAAATTAGAATTTAAATGTTATTACCACCCACACATTAAATACCTGAGTACTTAATATTCCTGACATTGATAGCGTGTGTGTGTATACAGCCTTCCTAAGACAAAATACCGTAAATCGAAAGAAAAAAACGACATTTTTCTGTATTTCGTTTAATGTTATAATTTTACACGTTTTTCTTCAGTAAAAATGCCGTAACTATGATTATTTATCCAGATATTTGTGTTTATAAGAAAATAATATTGCCGCAATTGTCATTAAATATAATATATTAAATATATAAATATATAAATGATATACATAATATATGAATATTTATGATAATATATATTATAAATTATATAATCATATAATCACAGTTTGCTAAGGAAGATTGCCATACGTATTATTTCAAATACGGCGTTTTTACGTAGCACTTCCTCATGATCTATATTTACGGCCTTGTTGTTTAGGAAACTGGTCTCATTATAATTCGTGTCTTAAAATTTAATTTTAAAATACTGAAAATGTTTGGAAATTTGGTGTCGTACGTACACCACACACATTTTATATTTCGTTCAGTTATCGATGATATCTTGTCGTTCTACATTATAACCGTTTATAAMAGTATAA